CGAGGACTGGTCAAAAGTGTGAGGACCAGTCAAAAATAACTTTTTCAGCCCTCTGAGTAGTCCATATGCACAAAAGGACTAACCAGAGGGCTGAAAAAAGTCATTTCTGACAGGTCCTCGCACTTTTGACTGGTCCTCACACTTATGACCATCCTCATATTTATGCCCATGCAGCATTCTTAACAACCATGTCACTCATTTCACAACTGCTTCTCTTCACCATGATGACAAGATAGGGCAAAAATGTAAAATGTGAGGACAGTCATAAGTTCGAGGACTGGTCAAAAGTGTGAAGACCAGTCAAAAATAACTTTTTCAGCCCTCTGAGTAGTCCATATGCATTAAAGGATACAGCAATAGAGAGGGATGAAGGAATGGAAATTAGAGTAGGAGTGAGGGTAAGAGAGGGAGGAAGAGAGGAGGAGAAGGAGAAAGGAAGAGGAAGTAGGGAGGAGAAAAAGAGGGTGGGGGGAAGAGAAAGTAAGAAGGAAAGAAAAGAGAGTGGTGGTAGGTTTGAGGAGAAAGATTGCTGTACAATAAAAAAGATGAAAGGGAAGAAAGCCAACCCCAAGCAAATATAAAGATATTAAGATTAAGAATGAATTGTTAAACTTTAAAGAATAGAAGAGAACAAATATGAATAAATAGCAATAATTAGAAACACACATACAAACATACAATGTATTTTCTTTGAACAGAATATTTGGCTGGTTCACAAATTTAAACAGCGTTTAGTCATTTCAATTAAATTTACAATTTCTATATTTCCTTTTTGCCATATTTATTCCTCATCTATTTTTAAAAAAAAACAATATTACCCTTCATCCTCATCTCTAATCTTAATCAAATTCAATTTTTCCCTTCTATTCTATATTATACCCCTTCCCATTGTCATCTATTTTTATATCCATCCTCACATTGGTTAATTATGTAATACAGTTGTTTAATACAAATTCAACATTTTAATATAAATCAATTAGTTATATAACTATCTTTTTTGTATATTAATCAATATGAACATGAATATTCCAATTATTTCCATGCAATCCAATTTCTTACAAATCAATTAATTATATTTACCAATAATAATAAACCAAATAATTTCCCCCATATATTCCTCCAAACCACAACTTAACCATTTCTGCTTTCAACACAATATACAATTATTAATAGTATCTCAATTATTACAATTCCCTAGTTAAATAGAGCTTTTTTTCTTTTGTGTTTTAAAATCTTGAACTCTCCTCTTTTGCCCAAAATTTCCCATTGTTTACAGTTTTGTACCTACCTTTTTTGGTGAGGAAAAAGAAAAAGAAAGAAATCTCTCTCTGCCTCATTTTGTCACGTTGCAGCTTTACTTTCGCTTTCGCCTTTGTTTTCAGCTAGGGGGGAAAAAATCTGCTCCAGGAACTTTTTGCAGCTTTTTGCAGCTAATTAACCTAGCGGAAGCTGTTAACAGGGGCTGTTTTTTCTATTTTTGCAGGCATGGGTCTACTCTTTTTTTTAACACTGATCAGCTGTAGGTCGGCCCTTTGAAGCCCCGCGGCAAGAGTTTAAAGAGTTTTTTTTCCCTCTAGCCATCAGCGGGGATTCAGGAGGCAGCCGGGACTCAGGAGGCAGAATGAAAAATCGGGACTTTTTTAAAACGCCGCGGGACGCGGGACAAATTGCTCAAAAGCGGGACTGTCCCGCCAAAAGCGGGACGTCTGGTCACCTTACACAAGCGCGAACCCTCAAAATGCAATGTGTGGATGGCCGCTGTGCATGCACTCTGCCCCCATGCATGCACATGCAGCCCCCCGCATGCGCCCCAGCATGTGCATGTGCCCCAGCATGTGCCCTGCCTCATGCATTCACATGCACCCCTGCATATGCTCTCCGCATGCACTCTACCCCCCTCACATACATCCCCAAGACATGCACCCTGCACCCCACGCATGCACCCCACAAATGCTTGGCACAGACCCAAAGACCAGCTGGCTGGAGGGAAGCGTGCACAGATGCGCGGCAGAGCTGAACTGGGGCAACAGCTTACATTCCCACAGAGAGAGGTCTGCATGCCACCTCTGGAACACATGTCAGAGGTTCGCCACCACAGGTATAAAGTTTCCTGCCTGAGCAGTTAGTTGGACTAGAAGACTTCCAAAGTCCCTTCCAAATCTGTTATTTTGTTATTTCCTCTCTACAGTTTTAAAGAAATAGGATGCTGATCTTATCTTGATGTATGTCAATGACATGGCACTTATATCAGTGATCAAGAGTGAACTTGACAAAAAATACTCCTTACAGTGGCTGGCTATGGTGAGAGGAAAAATATGAGGATCAACTATGATAAAATCTAAAGTGTAGGCCTTTGGTTCTAGCAAAATCATTCATTCATAATTAATTAATACCAAGTAAATAGAGAAATGCTTCCACTTTAAATATTTTGGTGTTGTTTCCCATGAGTAATTATCTGAATAATATAACAATATAGTTTTAAAAGTTATTTAATGCTCACTGGATGCTCACTTCTATCTACACCAAAAGGGAATCAATTAACTGCCGCTGTTCTCAAAACATTCCAGGGCAAATAGTTTTACAGATTATGTATGGTAAAAATGTTAGGGTTGGAATGATCATAAAGTTGTCTCATTGAAAATAGTCCAGAATCACTTTATAAGGTGGTTTAGATCCCACCCCCCTGTTTTACATTTCCAAACTATATCCTCAGTCAACTTTGAAAGCAAATTCTACAAAGTTCTCATAGAACAGTATTTTTGCCATTAAGGTCATGAGCAGATAGAAGACATCAAATAATATGTTCTACACTATATTTTATGATGTTGTGTTGACACGGGCTGGGCACGGAAGTGACACAACCTTGCCGAAGGCTTAATTCCCTTTTATTGCTCCAGCCTCTCCCCAAAATCCCCACAGTTCACTGCAAATTGAAGAGCAGAGCTCTAAACACACACACACATATTTCCAATAGTTCTTGGCTGCTATACGTCAAGAGAAGCAGCACAATCCTGGGAGCAGAAGTGGTACAGAAAACCTGATCACAGGATATCCTCGCCACTCAGAAAGTTCGTTGGAGCTGCAGCAAAAACCTGGAGCAAAGTGGTGGGTGTTGCGCTCTCGCACAAAGCCAGGCTAAGCAAGGCAAGGCAAGGCAAGGCAAGGCAAGGCAAGGCAAGGCAAGGCAAAGCAAAGCAAAGCAAAGCAAAGCAAAGCAAAGCAAAGCATGGAAGCAAGATGTTGATATTCACAAGTATGCAACACTTGTTCCCCAAAAAATGCCCCTTCCCACGGCATTTCCTTAAATCCTATTTCCCAGGTGAATCTGGTAATGAGGGGTAGGGTGCTCTCCTCCCAAGTTGCTGGATTGCCCTGAGCTGATCCCGCCTCCTCTCCATTCTTCATGCTTGGGGATCAGGCGAGAGAGGCAGATGCTCTTATCCAGAGTTCTGTTGCTCCTCTGCTCTACTTCCTGTCCTTTCCATCTCCTCCCCTCTCGCTCGGTTGTCCAGTGGCCTTTCATCCTCTCTGACAACCCTTCCCAGGCCTGAGGGACCCAGGGATGCCTCATCCTGCTCCTCTGGTTGCTGCTCTGGGGCCAGAGAGGCTGCACCATCTTTCTCTGTTGGCCCTATCTTTGTCTCCTCCTCCTCCTCAGACCTGAACTCCAATGGGGACATGACAGATGTACTTAGGATAAACACATTGCACCAGAATATATACAATATATTGTAATGTATGTAATGAGTGGAATGGTAGCCTAGTGGTGAAGACGCTCACCTCCCACTAGAAGGTTGAGAATTCAGTCCTAGGTAGTGGCTGATCTTTCTCTTTCAGGGCACAAAGAGAAAATATCTGCTGTGAACTCAGCATAGGCATCAGGAAGGGCATCCACCAATAAATGCTCAGCTCCTTCCACTTGCCCCAACTCTACCCCAAATTAAGAGATTATGGGGTGGTAAAAAGAAAAAAAATAAAACGTATGTAATGTACCATATATATGTTTCATTATGCTAGCTAGTCACAATTTTGTTCTCATTACACAAACACAATTTTTCATTGGCCAGTATGTTAACCCTACAGGAATTTTTTTTAGCTCTGGAAAGACATTTAAAAATCCTAAAAATCCTATAAGGAAAGAATCAATGATATGAAGAAGGTATGTTCAAATGGATAAGCAAATATCATTAATACTATTATTATAAAATCAATATTAATGTAATGAACACTGTTGCAAATATTCTGATTACTATTTATTAAAATTATTTGTACCTAGACAACATATTGTTTAATTTGAAAATGGAATTTTTATATATAAAAAATAAAAAAATTGATTTAAAAAAATTCCTAAAATTTAATTTCTATTCAGGCAAGTTGTTTTTTTTTTTGCTTTGTCTAATGCATTATTACCACATTATAACCTATGTTTACATACTAAATTTTTATTTATTTTTGGTAGTCTAAAATATTTTAAAGAAATAATTTGAATTTCACCAGGGCAGAACCCTGTTACTTCAAGAAAGAACCTATGACTGTTCCTAATACTAGTAGTGAAAATGTGTGGCTCTTAATGATAAAGTCATTGCTTAGAGCAACTAATCATTTTGTATTCGTATTATAATGTAAATGCACATCATAATGCAGAAATAGTTCACATTCATATTAGCAGGTGCAGGAACCTAATTCAATTGAATTATGTCACAAGTATCTAAATGTCATTTCTTTGAAATCACTCTGCCAATCAAGAAAAGTGAAACATTTTTGGTGACTTCTGATTAGCTCACTCTTTAATCAAGAGGTAAATACTAATAACAGTGGTTTTCTATCATCTTTAATCGTTTTGGCAAAAAATATATCTGAGATTCAATAGACTTAAACATGAAATGGTACAACAGACTACATACTGTAACACCGTTCAGAAAGGGGACAATCCCATTGGTTAATACCCCCATATTTATTTTAAAGGCTTGTACTTGAAAAGGTGGCCAGGCTATATCCTTACCCAATTGAGTAGAGTAGGTAGAGCCCAGGTTTTGTAATCTGGTTGCTTTCAGATCAGCAAGAATGCTGGTTGATGCCAAAACAGCTGAAGGAGAGGGACAGATAGGGTTGGAATTGAAAGCAGGAGAGAAGTAAGTAATTTACACTCATGCCAAAGAACAACAGTCAGATTTTGATATTTTCTCTGTTGAATATTATTATTATGAAAGCAGATCGGACCATCTTAATATGCTAGGACCGTGATGGCGAACCTATGGCATGCGTGCCACAGGTGGCACATGTAGCCATATTGGTGGGCATGTGAGCTCAGCTCTGGCATGTGCCAGCTGATTTTCGGCCTTCTGGGCCTATCAGAAGTAGGGAAACAGGCTGTTTCCTGCCTCCAGAGGGCCTCAGGAGGTGGGGAAGGCCGTTTTTGCCCTTCCCAGATTCCTAGAGAGGCTCTGGAGCAAAAAACAGGCCTTCCAGTCCCACTGGAAGTTGGCAAACAGGCCATTTCTGGCAAACGGGCCTCCAGAGGAGTGGGGAAGGCCATTTTCGCTCTCCCCAGACTCATGTGCCATCATGTGCCAGGAGCAGGGGTGGGGGTTGCGCATGCATGCGCGAGGGCAGGGCACATTGAATTATTGGTATGGGCATGCACGTGTGCGACCCCCCCCCGCTCCTTGCACATGATGGCAAAAAGGCTAGCCATCACTGAGCTAGGATTTTTATTTTTCTTGGTATTTTCTTTTTGTACTGATGAGTTTATTGAGTTCAACATTACTTACTCTAAAATATGAGTACATAGGATTACAGATTTTTCTTCTTATTTTTTTCTTTGAGATAATGGGTTTGAAGAATAAATGTTAAACTTGCTAACGGAGATAAAGAAAATGAATTAAAATGGCCTCTTTCTGTCAACTAACATGCCAAATTGACATGTTGCAGTAATAATAAAAGAGTTTTGGATATCAGAAATTATTATGCTACAGACAGATAAGGAAAAGGGTTAGGAAAGACCATAAACCAAGGATCGGCAAGTTTCAAAATAATTTTGTTTTTCACTATAATGTTCTACGCCATGTGCAAAATAAATAATAAATAGAATTAAGGAATAACATTACTGTAAACGAAATTTTCTACAGTCAGGGACTATTGTATAGTCACACAATTAAACACTCCATCCCTTACATTGTTATTCATACTTCACACTTCATATTCTTCATAGTCAATGAAGAATAACTATAGTTGTATTTATATTTTATGCCTCCCTATGCTCTCCACTCTTAAAGGCTTTTATACTAAAAATTAATTCAAAGTTATTTTTGTATCACTTGAATTATTTTACTTACCTCTTGCAATAATAACATTTCATACATCTGCTGGTCAGGTATGATCTTCAGTAGAAATCTCTGAATGCCAAAGTGCTAGAGGCAAATGAGTCTTCATTTCCATCTCCATTTTGGAGATATTTATCATGTGTCATATCCAGGGAATCCAAGTTGAGACAGCAGCCACTCCAAATAATGGAGTGCCCAAGTAGCAGCTCTCACTAGCTAACTGAGGGTACTTGCAGAAAAACATGACTGAAGTAAAGAGTGAATTTTGGCTCATTAATGTAGGAAGGTTATCATGGATTACTCAGTGGTTCTCTGTGAATCTCTAATGGTCTGTAAAAGGTTAAAAATTGTTGCCCTAAGCACATTAATAATAAGCTGAGTAAAATACCCAGCACCATAGAAAAAAATGCATTCTTCTTATTAAAATGAAGAAACAACTCTTCAGTCCTCAATGCGGTGGTTCATATAATCTGAGAGGCTGCTCTGATTATTGGAATTGCACAATAAAATACAAGAAAGGAACAAGATTTTTCTTTTTTAACCCAACAGTTCTTATTCCTCTGCAAAGCTGATCTAAACAAGGGGATGCATCATTTGAGAATTTAGTGAAGGGAGCACTTTTTTGAAAATTTTATAGAATCATGCTTAGTCCATGAAATTAGTGACAAGGGTCACAAAGTTTACAACTTTGAGATCTCAAATTCAAAATATGCTTCTCATTTTACTTTCAGACTCTTCTACAACCTATAAAGAAAACATTTAATTGTGGCTACTGTTAGAAACATAGGAATCAGAAAGTCTGTACAGTACATCACCTAGAAAATAACTAGTATGTCTTGGATCTACTTTTTGCCTATCATGCCATTTGATGAAGAATGGTACTTGTTTAACTCTAGTCGTGACATAATGATTAATTTAGTCAATTGCCATTGCTTGGGAGAAAATGATTATCTCTGCAATCCTAAACTGTTATTCCATTCTTTTTTTCCTTTCATTATTCTGACAATTAAAATGTATGAAAACAAGTAACAAAAAGTAATTTATAAATAAAATTTTAGAAAAGTATGTAGAGCATATGCATGTACATGAGTGTGCCTGCATGCATGCACACACACATATACACAACATTTGTATATAGATTCTTACATAATCATCTTCTTTTGTGTATCTGAAATATGACAGATTTTTTTTCAGTTGAAGCAGATACTTCTAAATATTTTATTAGTAATGAATTATTTTCTTAGTTCTGCTCAGTCAGGAATTCCCAGCAGATTAGATGAAGAATGGGTGATTTAAAATTGTTGCCCACAATACATTAAATTTAAAAAAAAATGTTGGGGTTTCTATCACAACTTCAAATCAGAGAAGCTGATGAATCAGGGAGAACATACTGACATTTAAAGAAAAGCTTTTATATTGGACTTGGATTTGTTCAACAAAGGTTTCCACTGTTTGCTGTGCCTCATTAAATAGCCCACTTTGTATTTTGTTGGTCTCATTTCAGCTCATCATTTCCCAGCAAACTTTATTTCAAACTATTCAGAATTTCATGCTCATTTAGATGTAATAAGAATATTTACATAAGTAAATGATAGCGTTACTGGAGATTCTTTAGAAAACATTCTTTAAGCGCCAAACTTTCATGGGAGAATTTTGAATGGCGGAGAGGAAATTCCATTCAAGTTTAGTTCTCACTGTCAGCCAGACTGCAGTTCACCATCATTTGAACTCAGACAGTAATTCAGGCAGACCTGTTCTGGGTCACCCCGGTGGCAATAGCTTTCTGATTGTTCTTCCCTTTGGATCAGAGTCAGCAATAGGCATTAAATTAGTACAGTGACACCAGGAGAGAGCGCTCAGTCTGAGTGGTCCAGATTGTGTTGAACAGCATACTAGATTACCTTGACCTCCAGGGCTTGGTAAAGATGTGGGGACTCCCTGAGTTGCATCTTTAAATTCTCATAACATGGGAGCTACAGGCTGAACTAAATAGAATCATTCCTGTTTTATTTTCACTCTTTAAAACATATGGGAAGGTAGAGAGGGAAGGATGTTTTGGTTGCGCCTGAGCTGATTGTATCTCACTGTAATTCTGAGGCTATGCTTTTTTGAAAGGCATAACAATATTAGGAAATTATCCATGCGTGATAAAATTTATTTTCTGTAAAAAATAATAATAATAAAAATACCATAATATCAGGTGATCAACCACTTACTTGCTAAATTATAGATTCAACCCATAGAACCAATAACCTGGAGCCCGCTTACCAAAAGGACTTACTTCAACTTTAAACTAAACTTTAAAGCCCTACTCCAACAAGTTATATTAGATAACTCTGAGCCATTCTACCTATGGAATACCTTTTGTAGATAGGGTTACTACCATCTGTCTTTCAGTCTTTTCATCACCAAATGAAAAGTCTCTTCTGCACTGGTCATATTAGAGAGAATGTCATATCTCATACTGGACACTGCAGTTTAGAAACAACATTGATAAATCAGAGCATGCCCAGAGGAAACAACAAAGATGATAAACTGTCTGAAAAAAACAAACAAAAAAAGATGAAGAGTTGGTATGATTAGCCTGGAGAAGTGACTGCAGAGAGACATTAAACTTTTTCTGCAGAGTTACCATGTAGAAAGTGGACTAGACACATTCAGTTTACTCTAAAAGTTGGGAGACATATCTATAATACTTATAATATTCAGCTATTCAGTCATAAATAATTATATACTTTGCTATTTCCCTTAGGAAAATTCTAGGTTTTCTTAATTACTGGGCAGATATTTTTGTAACTAACTATTTATTTATTGTTTATTTATTGGTTTGATTTATATGCCGCCCTTCTCCGGAGACTCAGGGCGGCTTACAATGCGTTAAGCAATAGCCTTCATACTTTTGTATATACCTGCTTAGTAGGGCTTTCGGCCCTACACCTAAGCAGTGTTCTTTTTTATACAAAGTCAGCTTATTGCCCCCACAATCCGGGTCCTCATTTTACCTACCTCGGAAGGATGGAAGGCTGAGTCAACCTTGAGCCTGGTGAGATTTGAACTGCCAAATTGCAGGCAGCTGGCAGCTAAGTGCTACTTAACAGCACGTTAGTCCGCTGCACCACCAAGGCTCTTGACTAACTGAATATTCAATATTATTTCTTTCTTCAAAGGAAGATTTATTTCCAATTTAAATACTGTGTAATTTGTTAATAAGGTGGCTTTCTAAACAAACAATATTTGGGAGTAAATTCCATTAAATATATTGAGATATAAAAATGCATATCATTGGATTTTTAGTTATGGATGTATCAGTTAAAGATGCTGTCATTAAAAAAAAACGAAGTGAAGAAAACATGGAAGTAGGCTATGTACATAGGGGAAAAATATTACTCTCTGTAATATTTATATTTATTGTAATATTCTCTGTATATTTATTATTTACCTGATTCTTGTGTGTGTTTGTTGTGCTGTGTTTGTATAATCTTAAAATGTTCAGTTAAAATAAGAAGGCAAGAATTCAGTTAACTAAAATCCTTATTATAGAAATCCAAAGGGCAGGCCAAATTATATGTATGGAAAAGAAAAGAGAGGAGAGGAGAGGAGAGGAACTACTTTTTGAAATACCTAACTCATTCTACGATAATGTCAATTTTTTTTCTATTGCTTTACATCAGGGCTGTCAAACTCCCAGCCCACAGGCCGGATGTATCACATCCTGGCCATGCCCGCACCTGGTTTAGCAAAGAGGGGAAAGTTCCATTACGTCCTGTGATGCTGCCATTATGACATGAGTTTGACACCCCTGCTTTACATGATAGGAGATCCATATTTGACACTTATCTGGTGCCAAAGATGGCAGAGAAAAACGTTATTTGTCCCCACTCTCTTTATATATGTGCAGCAACTGAAGCTGGTGAAGTTCAAGCTGGTTCTACATAGAGCAGAAAACACTGTGTAAAATGAAAGCAGATGCATTCCAAACTCAACCATGGGATAAGAATGGCTATGATTACAGGGCAGAAGGAAAAAGCTGCAGGTAGGTTAAATCCTCAGAGCTGTCATATATAGATAATCCTCACTTGGGACAGAGTCTTTGTCATTGAGCAAAGTGGTTGTTGAGCAAGATACCCATACGACTGTTTCGCTCAATTATTGTGATCCCAACATTCCCCCTTGTGATTGTTGATCTCAGGGGGTCATTAAACAGAGTCAGTCTCTGTGCCTGTGGAATGGCTTGGAGTTCTTTGCATGCTTGAGTTTCAGTTGGTGAGATCTAAGCAGGAATGAAACAGCAGGGTTGTCTTTCATCCTGTCACCAGAGACAAAATGGAGTCCTATCAGCAGGCAGTAGCAGTTTGCAATTTTACCTGATGGGTTTTCAATGATTTTCTAGGAAAGCCAGCAGATATAGAATTCTTTATTGGCCAAGTGTGATTGGACACACAAGTAATTTGTCTTTGCTCTCAGTATACATAAGGAGAATAAAATACATTCTTCAAGAATAAAAAGATACAACACTTAGTAATAGTCAAGGTTACTAATAAGCTATCAAATCGTACTAGGAAACAAGTAAAAACAATATAAATTGAAAGATACAAGCACATGGTTATAGTAATAAATGGGAAGAGATAGATACTAGTAAGGAAGAGAAGAATAATAGTAATACAGCCTTAGTAAATTATTTGACAGTGTTGTGGGAATTAGTTGTTAAGCAGAGTGAAAAAACTGTCCTTGTATCTAGTTGTTCTGTGTGCAGTGCTCTATAGTGTCTTTTTGAGGGTAGAAGTTGAAACAATTTATGTCCAGGTTGTGAGGGGTCTGTAGATATTTCCATCCCATGATCGAGGGATACTTGGCAAGTAGTCTTACGTACAAGCAGGCTGCCAAGAACCCAGATTGTGATCACGTGACTGAATGTGTGTGTGTATGTGTGGGTGGGGGGGGATGACATTTTGAAACAATCAGAATTAATTCACATACTGTAACGTACCCTACTGTAACGCATGCCACTACTGTACACTTGATATTAATCAAAACCCTCAGCCATTCAGGTCATTTTTATGTTTGATATTTCTGTTAGATAAAGATTCTACAGTAAGATACAAGTTGCTACATTTGCATTTCTAGCATTTAAAATGCTAGGCAATTTACCTAATATATAGAGGAGTAGAAGAAATATAAACAATACAACATTACTTTTCTCCTTCTGCTCTCTTTTTTTAGTCTAAACAATTTAAGACTTGGTTTATTAAGATAAAGGCTATATCCATATATCTGTGTTATTGTTTAATATCCTTTCTATTTCTAGTATATTAGACTATGCAAAATTTTACCATAGATCTTATTTTGTTATTCTATACAGTACATGGCCCCAATATTTATGAAATTAATTTTAACTCATAGCCCCTACTGTTTCTTATTTTTCTGTTTATATATTTTTAAGTTAATCACACACACACACACACACACACACACACACACACACACACACACACAAATCAGGAACTTTGGGTATATCAGGTGTGGGGAAGCACCTAAACAATTATTTTGAGATTTATGATATTTATGACTGGATTCAGGACCTGGGTAATTTTATAGATTTTTGAAGAATCTATGTTTTCTATTAATGGTAAAGTGATATGTTTCACTTTGGCATGGATTTCCTGATATTGTAAGACTTTATAAGTCACATTTTCCTGTAAACCTGTACATTTTATATTTTGCTTAACACTTGATAGGAGATTGTGTTTTTTATTTTTTCTGTTTTAGTTTCTTTACTTTTGTTTATAATTTCTTTTTCCTATTTCTTTGCCATGATGTTTGTATTTGTACTTTTCTGTTTTTCTACTCCTACACTTGGAATAAGATAAGTAAGCAAACAAAAGTTTGACCTGACAAAGAAATAATCCAGTGAATTGGGGAATGGGGTGTCAATGAAGACTGAAAGAATTGGGTTGATTCAAACACCTCAGGATATAGGAGGTCTCTTTAAGGAGGTGAGATCCAGCCAGTGGCCAGGAAGAGAATAAGAGAAACTTTGTACAGAGAACTTTTACAGAAACCGCCATTGTTGTGGGTGCTTTTGTAAGGAAGGAATGAGAATGGATTTATTAAATCAACCCTGCTTTTGAAATACATTGTCTCTTTAAGAAGAGGATTCAGAATGTTGTATAGAATCTCAGAAGCAAACTTCAGAGAGAAGTTTCTGGTAGCAAATTCTTGTTCCTTTGGTATTATCTATATATCTTGTATGGTTATTGTTTTTCTAATCAGACGTAAAAATATTCTTGCTTGTTCAAATCTTTTTCTTATTAATGTCCTAGGAAGGAAGATAAAAATTGCCCTTTAGAGCCACTCCGTTATTTGAATTCTTGGAAATAGGCTTTTTGAAAGTGAATTAGGTAAGAGCTGAAGGCTGAGTCCCTTTTCTTTTCTTTTTCTTTTTTTCTTTTCTTTTCTTTTCCCCCCTTTTTTCTTTTCTTTTTCTTTTTCTTTTCTTTTTTTTCTGGTGGGGACGATGATGACGGGACAGGTCTTTGAATTCAGGAACTATATGTAACTATGCATGACCCCAAAACAAACAATATATAGGATTTTAAAATGCCCTTTAAGGAGTTTATGACTCCTTATAAATACAGGTAATCCTTGATTTCAGCACTTCATTTAGTGACTGTTCAAAGTTACAACGGCACTGAAAGAAGTGACTTGTGACCATTTTTCACACTTATGACCGTTACAGCATCCTCATGGTTACATGATTTACATTCAGATGCTTGACAATTGGATCATATTTATGACAGTTGCAGTGTCCCAGGGTCACGTGATCCCCTTTTGCAAACTTTTGTCAAACAAAATCAATGGAGAAGCCAGATTCAGTTAACAACCATGTGACTAACTTAATAACTGCAGTGATTCACTTAACAAATGTGGCAGGAAAAGTCATAAAATGGGGCAAAACTCACTTAACCAATTTCTCACTTAGCAACATAAATTCGGGGCTCAATTGTAGTCGTAAGTCGAAAACTACCTGCAGTTGGGGGATCTTCGGGAGTAAGAAAATACTGGAAGAAAGACAATCAGATAGGCCCAACATGGGTTGTCTAGAACTGAATTTCTCCCCACAAGACTGGGTATTAAAGCTTGAATAAATTTATTTATTTATTTATTATTCCAATTTATATACCGCCCTTCTCCCAAAGGACTCAGGGTGGTGTACAGCCAAAAGTAAAAGCACACAAATATAAAATTTAAAACGATTTAAAAGCATATTAAATAATTTGGCCCAGCTATTCGAATAAAAACCCCATTTTAAAATTTTAAAATTAAAAAGTTAAAAAATTAGGCCAGTCCGGCTTGTTGGAATAAAAACGTTTTGAGGGCACGGTGAAAGGTGCGCAAGATTCATAAACTATGAATCTTGTAGTGGTGGCCTTATGAAAAAGGTCAGTGATTTTTCTCTGTAATATAATTTTACTCTAGTGGGGGGAAAAAAAGTTACTGGGAAGCCATCTATATTAATAAAAAAGAAAATGATTGTTAGAAATAGCCAAAGTTCTATTCTCTGAAACTTTTTTTACTCTTCTCCATGTGGTGTACACCTGAGCAATTTGGAATCTTACATCTGGGGGCTCTTTAGTGCATCTATGAAAAAAAAAGAAACAAATTAATAATATTTAAAATGAGTCTGCAAACTTTTTAAAATGTAGCAATATTACTTACTATCTTTAAAACTAGCCTCTTAAATTACTTTAATTTTTTGTTTTGTTTTGAACAAAATCAAGATGTTATAGTTTCTTGTTTTATTTATTTATGTGAACTGCCTTAGTAGCATTTAAGCAGAAAAGCCAGCGTGGAAGAATAAATTAGAAGTAGTGAGAAATAAAACTTTACTCCATAAAATTTCCATAGTTCAAAATCTGCATAGCTTAGTCCAATTAATTTTGCATGTTCAGGGCCAGAGTGGTGAATTAGCATTAAAACAGATTTTCATTTAATTTGGACTTCTTATGTTCAGACTTACTTTGAAAACAGCAGGAGGGAGTTCTGTGATTAGGACTGTCTGGATCTGAATTTCCTCACCATGCTGTTTCTGTTTTTCTTAGGACTTTAAATCTGGAAGAAAGTGGAACTGGTATTTCAAATTAGCCACAAAGACGATATAACTTTAAATGTTCAGTAGGTAGCCAGTATTCTATAAGTAAAGCTTTTGTGGATGGAAAAAATATTTCCATATTACAAAACTTGGGTTGGAATTAATAAAGAAAGCCATTCAATTTGCTTTTTGCTAATTAAAAAAAAAAAAAAGACAGGACATTTTCTTAGGTTACAGGATAAAGCCTAAAAGGTGCCTCATGATTAATAGTTTTACTCATTTCTTCTAAATTCTCTCTCCCGCATTCAAATCTCTCTCTCTCTCATGCACGCACACACTGCACGCACATATGCTTTCTCTTTCTCTCACACATTTGATCATTGCTTTGTAATGATTTCCTTTGTTCCTCATCTGTTAAAAGCACCAAGTGCTATAAATGTAATTCCCCCCCCCAGATTAATAGCAAGAGGATGAGATGACCAATGCATACTTTCATTGAAACATTTCAAGGAGTGTTTATACAGTGCTGATGAAATCAAGGCAAGGTAGTTTCTTCAGTCCTGCACACCTAAGAGTTATTTACAATGATATGAGTGGGTTTTGACAGTTGTTGTTTGGCAAGTCAGAGGACTGGTTTGAGCTTCTCATTAGCACTGCATCTTTCATCACAACTTCTAAAGCCACCCTCCCGCGCCCCCCCCACCCCGAAAAAGGTGAATGAGGAGCTATCACAAAGTTTTTCAAATTAATTTCCAGAAAGTGACATGCTCAGCTTCTTTAAGAAAGGCCCTTTCATTAGGAGCACTGTCAAAGATAGCTGTAACAATACAGTTAGAATGCACAATCGATAGAGAGCAACTGGAGAACAGAATGGTAACATTTGGAAAATCATTCACAGCTGCTTTGTATTTTCCCTATCAATCAGATATGTTTTAAGAAAAAAAGCATCTTACCCAGAAATATTTCCATTCCTTTCTAAAGCAACTTTCCATATTCTGAGTGCACTGAGTGCATTTTTACATTAAACTGTTACCCCTCTGCATAAACAATAAAAAGGTAAAGATTTCCCTGTCCAGTCATGTCCGACTCTAGGGCATGGTACTCATCTCCATTTCTTAACTGAGGGAGCCAGCATTGTCCAAAGACATTTTCTGTGGCCATGTGGCCAGCATGGCTATACGTCAAAGATGCACAGAAGAGCTTTGTTACTTTCCCACCAAAGCGGCAGGTATTTATCTACTCGCATTTGCATGCTTTCAAACCGCTAGGTGGGCAGGAGCTGGGGCAAGTAATGGGAGCTCACCCCATTGTGCAGCACTCAGGTCTCAAACTGGGCTGTCAGCTTTTCAGCCTGACAAGTGTTTTTAACTGCTGAGCCATAAATAAGAGGTATCAGAATTTGCAGACAGAAGTCTGCTAATTTCTACCATTGCCAGTTCTTTTGGTTGAAACTATGAAGTGCCATTCTGGACGTGCAGGAGGAAATGTCCTATCACTTTTACTGGTATAGTTCTTGGCAGACATAATACAGAGAGAAGTCGGGGAGTGAACAAGATGATTAGCACAAACTATAGAAGCACACAGAGGAATAATTTAAGATGTTAAATGTTCAAAGTGTGAGGGTTGTCCTTTGGTTGTATGGCTTTTTACTAGCAGTATTAAGAAAATAAACACCTGCTTGATTATATGTTTGTTATTTAAATGGCAGTTATTCAAATGGAAGGCTGCTAATGAGACGGGGAAGCATTATATTGTTATCTGCATCTAATTAAGGAAAGATTAGAGCAGATCCACTGCTCTCTCTCTCTCTCTCTCTCTCTCTCTTTTTTACATATTTTAACATTTTTAGTTCAGAACGTATAGTAATGCAAGCCAGTTTGGTGTAGCAGTAAAGACATCAGGGTAGAAAGTGGGAGAATATGAGTTCTAGTTCCACATTAAGCCCAAAGCCAGCTGGGTGACCTTGGGCCAGTCATACTTTCTCAGCACTAGGAAGGAGGAGGGGCAATCACTAATCACTTCTAGAAAACGAAAGGGGAAAAGAGGGAGAGGGGAGAGGGGAGAAGAAAAGAGAGTGAGAGAAAAAAATAGTAATGGAACATTTTGCATGTAAAGAAATTTCAACACCTGGGTTAAAGAAAGATTGCTTCTGACTTTTAAATAGGCTATAAATAACAGAATTGTGCAGGTTTTTAAAAACATAATCAAATAAGCATACCTGGTAAAATTTGCACAACTGATTATTCAGTTCGCCTTAAAGCTCCTTAGAATAGAATAGAATGAGCTGCAAAGGACCTTGGAGGTCTTCTAGTCCAGCCCCCTGCTCAAGCAGGAGAACCTACACCATTTCAGATAAGTACCTGTCTAGACTCTTCTTAAAAACATCTAATGAGGATCACCCATGATTTCTGGAGGCAAGCTGTTCCACTGGTTAATTGTCCTCACAGTTAGGAAGTTTCTCCTTAATTCCAGATTGCTTCTGTCCTTGATTAGTTTCCAACCATTGTTTCTTGTTCTGTCCTCTGGTGCTTTGGAGAATAATTTGACCCCCTCTTCTTTGTGGCAGCCTCTCAAATACTGGAATACTGTAGAGTTATGTATGTTTTTGCATTTACAAATTCATGTGTGGAAAACGCTTTTCAAAACTGTTTGTAGAATTGTCTTCAAATAATTTTAATTTTTGTCCTGGGCAGAGGAGGACAAATATCAGTCAGTATTATTGTTTTTGTTTAAAGTGGTTCCTAAAGCAAATATCACTAAATATTCTACCTGTTTGAAAGAACAGCATTTTATATTTGTATTTTATTTTGAAACTTCCAATACAAAGAAAGCAGTTAATCATTCTAAATACCACATTCCAGATGAGGAAGGAAGAGGAAGGAAAAAAAAAAACAAAAGAAGAGAAAAGGAGGAGGAGATTCTGATCATCTAATGTAAATTTCAGTTTAGTTCACACATTTCCTAAGCCATGATTTGTTTTACTGACTATGCTGAAATGGGTTGGGTTCTCCAGCTAAGCTAACTATATATAAATATGTTTAAAAGCCATATTTGAATAACAGAATGTGTAACTCAATGTGACATCTTCTTGTGAATAGGGGTAAGGAAATATCAATCTCTGTTTAAATACCAGAAAAAAAATCTGTTTTTACGTACAAATGTCACTGATCCTTCATAAGCCATGGGCTGCTTTTTTACAAAGATATCCTGATTATTTCATAGGTTCTTTAAATAGCTAATGGCTTGTAAAATGTTGTATACTATATGGTGCTGCCAAGCATGTAATATGTAAAAAGAGTCAAACTGACC